ATAGACAGGAACATTGTTATTTTGAGCCCAGGAGACATGAGTTTACCCTCTCTTCACCTCACGAGAAACGATAACCCATTTTCAGGCTGCCTCTTTACACTGGCCTGTTTGCACCCCAGTTCACATACTCTCCATTCTAAATAGCTTGTAATAGTATTAGTGCACCCCAAATCATAGTGAATTTAAAAAGTATGCTAGAGCTGCTGTTTTTACTTTTTCTGGTGGATTTTTGAAGCGTAGCCTACATCTGTACATACTATGTACCACTTTACTGTGCAGCCAAAACGAAAATAAATTTCCACCAGTAAGAAAATCGCGACAAGCAAATCGTGGCTTTTTAGTGGCTTTTAGTCTAGTGGGGCTGCATCCAAAATCACATACTTTCTGGGGTTTTTTTTAATAAGTAATTACTTTAAAACCGAACACAGAGTGCATTCTATGTAATATGAATGTATGTAGGTCGTACTTTCCCACCACCAGTCAAGTACATAGTTTCAATGCAAAGTATTTAGAAGTATTATACAAATTATACATTTTACTCTATGGTGCCCCCTACAGGCCTTCAGCTGAAAGTGTGCAGATTCTTCTATTGGCAGGCAAATCAGTGTCGAGGAGGATTACAGGACAGCAGCCGGATTAACTCTCTTTGTGCTGGGGTTCAAAAGCTGGCAGCAGATCGCCGAGTGTGACTGGTGCGCTGGACTCTTCTTAAAAAGTTTCTGTCTGTGTATACATTCATACACTCGTCCCTCACAGACGGCATGATAGAGGACTGTGTCTGGTGTCAAGGTGTGAAAGACATTTTTGCATTTCTTTTCATTTAAACCAAAGACGTTAAAGGGTTAATTCTATGGGATTACATCTCTGCCACAATTCGCAAAATGAGCACGCAAAAGTGCATTTTGCACACACGCGAACTGAGTTTTGTGGAGAAAATTTTTCTCGCAAAGAAAGTATTTCGAGCACATGAAAATAAATTCTGCATTTAAAATACGTTTTTGGATGTGTGTAGAACTTCTCTTTTGCGCGTGCAATGTTTCACTAGCTTGCTCACCTGATGCCTGCCCTCAGTGCTCTCTAAATGCCAAAGACTCGCTTGCTCAACACAACCCAGCATTACAATATGCCACAATTCCAGCCAATCAGAGACGAGGCTGCTAAATTCTGATTGGCTGCCTCGACAACCAGTCACAACATTCTTTGCATTACCTCAACAGCAGAAGAGGAAAAATACAGTGCATGCATAATTATGCAAGTTGATATTCTGATCATATTTTTTTCCAAGCACACTTGACCAATTCCAAACTACATCAATCTTAATAACTACTATTAATCTTGTATTTAATCATTTATAATTGATATTTAATTATTCATGAAGGCTGGAAGTGAGAAATATCTTTTATTCAGGTGTTCATATACCTGAAACGTTGCATGCACAAAAAAGGTCTGCACACATCCAAAAGCTTATTTTAAATGCAAAATTGATTTTCGTGCGCTCGGAATACTTTTTTCTTTGCGAAACGAACATTTTCTCCACAAAACTCAGATCGCGCGCGTGCAAAATGCACTTTTGTGCGCTCAAAATATGATCTTTTCACATGCAGAATAGTGGCAGAGATCTATGCCTATATAACACATACATAGATTTCATCAAATATTCATGGCTGATTTATGTTCTTTTATATTTAGCCCTCCAGAAGTAAACCACTTCTTTGTTCTTAGAGATATTTTCTATATTGAAAATATTTATCATTGAATATGATGCCAACTTCATTATATTGTACGCAAATTGATTCATTTAAAAACTAAAATTGGGTAAGTCCCCATTGCGCCTTCAATTATTTTCTTACCAGATTTTTGAAGTGTTTATTAAAGATGTTATTGCTTCTGTTTCTGCATGGACTGTACATAGTGCAAAGCAGAGTGAGTCAGTGTAGCTTCCCTTGATTTCACAGCACAGACCACAGATAATATTCTACTTTAAAGCAATATAGAGGAAGTGAAATATCTTAAACAGTTAGACAAAACTGCACTAACGAGAAGAGGACACAACTTCACGATGCATCAACATGTATTACATGCTATCCAACTACATCATGATCATAAAATTGATCAAGGCTTTACTGCAGTATTAAACTTTGGAATTCAGGTTTATAGTGCATTTGCTAAATGTTTTCTGATATTTCTCAACATAATGCATTGCAATATCAGGGTCCCAACCACTAGAATATGGCAATAACTCACTGTAACTTCTGATCACACTGCAAAAAAAAATGATGTTCTTCCTCAGATTTGTTTTGTTTTGTTTTCCAGTGCAAATATCTGAAGATTCTTAAATCAAGACACATTTACTTGAGAAGCTAAATGAAATAAGAAGTCTTAATAAAGTCAAAATGAAGTGAGTTTTTGATTAAAACAAGGAAAAATACCTGCCAATGTTTGGGCTCAGAAAATCAACTTCATTAAAAAGGAAAACAAGTTTTCATCACCATTTATTCATGTTTTGGGCACAGACTCACTTAATTGTGTTCAGTTTCGCAGAAAACAAGACTTCATCTCTTCATTCTGCACCTTAAGTAGATGTATCTTAATTTAAGATGTTTAGATATTTGTATTGGAAAACAAGACACAATACTGAGGAATATATAAATTTTTAGCAGTGCATGCAACATTTAATGCCATGACTTGAATTTAAGTCATTGAATTGAAGTCAATTTTAAGGCCATAATTTATTGAAGGGGCGAACTAAGACTTTTAAGACCTGTTTATGTCACGAACTCCGGTCCATGAACTGCCATCTGCTGGCCATCAGAGGTCACCCTTTCCAATTTCTCGCACTACACACTGTTGCACATCACCCCAGACTACATATCCCATCATTCATTGCACTGATTGTGCTCTGGAACTCGCTGGTAACACTGATTGCACCCAGCTGTTTCATATCACTCCCTCACTATTTAACACTCACTCTGATCCCTTCCCTCTGCCGAGTATTGTTTAGCGCATATCTCCAGATAGCTACACTACAGAGCCCTCATTTGTGCCTTAGCCTTAGCCTTAGCCTTAGCCTTAGCCTTAGCCTTAGCCTCGGTTTCTGATTGTCGCCTGGTTTCCTGGATTTCTCCTTTAGTCTTGCCCCTCTTTTGATTCTGTCTGCCGTTCATTGACCTACGCTAGCCCTAGGACTATTCTTGTGTCTTGCCCGCCATATACCTGTCGGCCACTGTTTGACCCTGCCTGCTTTATGACCACGTCTCTGTCTTCTCCAAAATAAAGCTTTGCGAATGGATCCGCATGTCTCACGTCTCGTCAGCCCC